AGCTGTGCAAATGCCCCAGTTCTGCAAGATGCTTCTGCGGAAGTTGCCGCCATATGTGTTCACATACGAAGTATTCGCCAGACTGACCAGGATACAAACAGCACAAAGAGCGCCATCATAGTTGTCTCCTTTCAACATCCAATAGTGGGGAAGAATGGAGATGTCAGAGACAGGGTCCAGGGGATCGTACCATGCTTCCGACTTCAACATGTACAGCGCGCAGCCGAAGAAGAGCCAGTTCAGGAGGACTTGTGAGGCGATGGTGAGAAGAGTTCTTGCTCCCAGCAGGGTCGCGGTGGGTCGCACCTTTGCCAAACAAGGTAAGGCTTTGGATTGCGTCATGAAGAACGTCATGATCATCCCAAAGCCGATGTCCTTCATCAGCCATACCCACTCTCCGACAGTGACATTGTGTGCAACATGGACCGTCATCATCATGCCAGAAATGCAGAAGGCCTGCACGATGAAGTAGGCAAAGGTGGCCAAATTCGTTGCCAAGCAGGCGCGTCCTTCTCGAATGAGGTCTGGGATGGTAAGGAGTGAGATCTGGCCAATGTTGCTGTCGTCTTGAGAGCCTTCTTCAAGTCTCCCAGTTGAGAAAGGAGCCACCAACGAAGCTTCTGCGTTGGACAATGCTATGCCAACATGCGCAGCACGCAAACCTCCACAGTCGTTGCCTCCATCGCCGGCCATTCCGACAACCAGACCTTGACGCTGAAGATATGCAACGACGTTGATCTTATCATCCGGCTTCATCCTACCGAAGACAACGCAACGCTGCCAGAGCTTCTGTAGCAGAAGTGGCTCATTCTCCAAAAGATGATGCCATGCACGGCAGCTGAGGGCAAGCTGACACGCACAAGATTCGACCTGGATAGTGTGGCAAGTGCTTTGCTTTGGGGCTTCGCTTTGGCCTTCCGTGTCCACGTCCTTTTCAGGGTCTTGCCAAACAAGCTTGTGATCCTGAACCGTGGCTAGCAGGCAGTCACCTGACACGATGCCGCACTGCCTGCCAATAGCAATGCCGGTAAGCTCGCTGTCTCCAGTGCAAATGACGGATCGAATGTCACCTTCCTTGAGCTGCTGGATAGCTTGGGGGGCTTCCCTCTTCATCTCATTTCTGAAGAGCAAGAGTCCACCGAATTGGAGATTCTGCTCCAGTTCCGAGCGCGACATTTCACCTACCTCTGAATTGGACTTCTCGGGAAGGTCTTTATGGCAAATGCTCAGGGCATAGTAGTTTGCCTTGGCATAACCACTAATGGTCGCACCATAGTCAGCTGGTAAGGACGAAGGACAGGCCACTGCCTGAATCTTGTCGGGCGAGCCTTTCACGAAGACCTGAAGCTGTCCCTGTGACCTCCGAACTACGACGCCACTTGTCATGCTCTGGTGGTCAAACTGCATTTCTCGGATAATTTCGACCTCTTCATCTGGAAGGATGATGGCATTTTGAGTGATCCTGCAGCTTGTCTTCCGCAACATGGCACACTCCAGCTCGTTTCCCACGAAGCTCCCGTCGTCAAGCTGCTTCACCTCTACCAAACAACAACAAACAAACGCTCCCACGCTACAAGTAGGGGTCATGACCTCGAAACACCTATCATCGCTCATGACACCTCGAGATGTTTCGAACTCGGAACAATTTGAAGGAGGGGAAGACGAAACTGCGAGAAGATCCTCCAGCAGACAAAGGTGGTGGCCCTTGCGGGAACAGGAAACTAGTGGCCCTTTGGACCTGTAAGCTCTCAACTGCTTTGATTGATTGCACCGTTCCTTCACACCCACCCGAAGGACCTACGGTTCTCTCGGGGCTGCTGCGCGGTTGACAGGCGCTGCTTGGGGCAGCCTGGAGTCTTCAGGTCACTCGTCGGGCTTGTGCAGCGCCCAACAAACAAAAATCACAGACGTCAACGCAGCACGATATGATCATTCTCAGGTCCAAGTCGCCGTGTGGCATACGGCCACCGCACACCGAAGCAGATTCGGAAGCTTGTGTGACTGGTCCACGTCGCCCGACTCTGCTTCACCATCTATCCAAAGCAGCGGCTGGAAACATGCAGTCTCGTTGGACTGTTGGGCGGCTTGCACGCTGACGAGATCCATTGTAGACTTCGTGATGGTGCCAGTCTTGTCGAAAACCATAGTGGAGATCTTTCCTGCTATCGGGATTCGACCAGGCTGCAAGCATTTGATTTGGTATCCTCGAGCTGTGAGACGCTTCGCCGACACAGACTGCCCCATGACAAGCGATACCGGCAGCATGGGGCTCAGGGCGCCGGCAATCGCGCAAGTGACGTTCAAGAACGTCACAACGGGAGAACCTTCCTCGGCAGCAAAGAGATGGAGCATCACCAACACCATTGCCTTTAAGAGCATCAAAGCATAGACAGTGGGCAGCTGATCGTTGTACTTGAACTTCACACTCGACGGGAAAAGGACCATTCTCACAAGTTCTCCTCTCGTGGTACGAGCCCCAACCTCTGTGCAGTAAAGGAGGGCGAATCCCCCGCGTGCTGTCTCACCTCTGGACTCGATGACGCGTGTCCCTGCAAAGGCTTTGTTGCTCTTCGGGTGCACTTGGTAGTCGGCGACGTCTTCCACAGGCACCTTGGCGATGGGCATGGGCTCCCCTGTCAGCATCGACTCATTCACGATAAGGCTGCCGCTGATCAGCATGCCATCGCAAGGGAGTTCGGCATCCTTTCCTCCCTTCACTTGGACGATGTCGCCCTGAACAATCTCCGAAACATCCAGCTGCCGAAACTTGCCTTCCCGCAGGACTACGCAGCTTTTCTGCATCCTCGCCAAATCGGAGACTCTCTTCTTGCTCGGCCGTGTTATCCCAAGCGCTCGATAAGCCCCGGAGCCAAGAGTCATGAACAGCCAAAGGAGACCGATGTTCCAGGTGGTGTACCTTGTGCCAGCTATGTGCAAAAGCCAATCAGAGACCAATCCGCCCAAATCACAAAAGTCTATCTTAATGCGCAAGTGGTTGGCGCAACAAAGGTCCAGATCGCGATTGAGTTGAACACGTACGTGAAGTGCGAGAACTCGCAAGCCAATACTTCCAGCCGACCTAAGAATTTCGTGTTCTCATTTCCGGAGCTGCTTTTGGGGTGTGGTTCCAGCTTCCAAACATACAAATACACAACTTTGGGTCTCCGAACGGGTCGTAGTTTGTCTGTGGCGAGGGGTTGCATCGCTTCTCGAGCCGTAGGGTTTGATCGATGGCCTAGCCAGAACATGCAGGAGCTGCCCACGCTCGGCGAGCAAAAGACCTCACAACCACACGGAACGAGGCGGCCGGCCGCGCGGGCCACAGGAGCCAAGGCACTTGGAACTTTGACGTGGATGGAGTTCGGCCCACAGCTCTCCCGGGAAGCGGCAGCTTCCGCCTATAGGGAGCAGATAGGAGGGAGCCAGGGAGCAAAGAGGTTTCTAGGGGCCCAGGGTGGAACCTCCGAGTGGCCGCCCGATCGCAGCCTGCGATGCATTTCTGCGGCCTGGCAGGAACCGAAGTTCGGCGCAAAAGAACACGGCCACTCCTAGCCTCCTAGCTGTCCTAGCTGCTCCCTGGCGACCTGTCCTGGCCTCAGGCTTGACCAGGTTGGCGAGGACGAAGGCATCGCAAGCCTCGCCTCAGCAGCTTTTGTGTGTCACAACGTTGTCCGGCCACCAGCATCTTAAACACGAAAGGCAAAGCCACATGCTGCACAAAAGCCATGTGTCTGTAGACGTACCTCACGCAGGTGTACTCCACATAGCGATGGCCACTCTCATTTTGAAGGACAGGCAGGATTTCACGCATGCGAGCTCGATGCAAGTATTCGCCGAAGACGACCAACAGCGACTTCCGCAATTCGTCGACCCCCATTTCAACTTTGGGGCACTCCTGAATTAGTAGGTGCGTCGCCGCACACATCCTTGGAACTGGCAACATGGCGTGAGAGTGTACGGCATCCCAAAAGACAAGGAGTACGGCGAGGAAGAAGTGTTCTAGAACGAAGCAAACGGCCCAGGGGAGCATCAGACCATCCCAGGATTGGAAGGTGTCGATCCAAAAATCCGCCCCCGGTGGAAACCACAAGTTTGCAAAGATCACATAGGACATCCAACATCCCCAGAGGATGAATACATAGCCCATGCCAATCAGTACCATCCAGGACCTCATGAGCCATGAACCGAAGACGGACGTTCGGTAGCCGTACTGCATGAAGTGACTAGCCTGCGAGGATCCGTCTGCCGGGGCTCCTGCTTTACAGCCCTTGAGCTCCGTGCCGGCCAACTGGCCTCTGCTCTGTAGATTGCCGGTGAACAGCTGGCGATAAACATACCAGAGAAACGTTACAAAGCAAAGTCCGCTGCAAACCCACAGCTGCACACGAACCAGAGTCCAACTTATGGGAGACAGATGCGATACCATGGTCGCAAAATGCTTGGGCCTCTTACCCGAGCATTCCAAGTTATTCCCACTTGGCAAGCTATGAAACCTGCTTCGGGAAGTGCTGTGCCAATTACCAGTCCTTACATTTCCCTACTGCTTCGAGCCACGGCGAGCTTGCCACGCCTCTCACTGCAATTGCATGCAAGAAACGATCTCAAAGACAAGTGAAGCTGCAGCGTGGGGACCCAGGCTTTGGCAGATCAGCTCGCGGTCGGAGGTTCTGCGTGATGCCGCTCGAGAACGGGATCTGGGTTCCGGATCCAGCCCAAAGCCGCAAACTGCTCGGAACGGGTACAAGACTGCTAGAAAAATGCGTCAAAGTAGGGCTGTGAAGTCAAGAGGATTTGGACTGGCTCGAGGATGTTGAGTGTTCGAAGGTTAGCGGCTCTAGTCGCTTTTCCATGCTGCCTTGGAAAGACTCTGACTCTCACTCACCGGCGCATGCCTTCGTTGAAGGCGCTACCCTGGAACTCCGCGGTGAAACCACCTTCGGCTGGGTTGGTCACTGCGTCACCCTGGCCTCACGAAGCACTTTCAAGCCAACCGAAGGTGACTACGGAGTCATTGCTTCCATCTGCTCCAGGGCTTTCTCCGTGTCCAGAGGCATCATGTACCACATGGGAAGCTGTCCTTACACAAAATGCTTGGCGATGTACGTTACTGCCGCATCCTGGACAATTTTAGGACAATCTAGGACCTAGGACAAGCTGAAACAACCTGACCAAGCTGGAAAAGCTAACAAAAACTCGAACAAGCCAGAAATCGGAGTCTCTAGAAACTTCTAGAGCTTGATGCTTTCAGCATAGGGGACATAAGATCGGACCTGGGCTGCTAGCTGCTAGAAGACTTCATAAGTGCTTAAGCACCCACCTCATTCTAAGAGAAGTGTGTGGGATGCTCTGACCGGGCCCGGCGTCCGGTGCGATTGCAGACAGCCGCCTGTGCGCTTGACCAGCTCCTCTTGATGCGATCGACCTCAAAATGCGGCTCCCCGGTGGTGTTTCGTGGGACTCGAAAGTGGGGGGAACATGAGAAAACCTGCAGTTAAGACTCCGTGGATTCCACAAGGCTCAGCTCTGGTGAGGCCAGGCCCGAAACGGCGAAGCGATGGTAGAGCATCCTGACGCGTAGTCTCGAACTGGGTCCACCACTTGCCAGGACTGCAGCAGCTCATCGATCGGGTCGGGACGTGAGGGTCTGCGTGTCAAGACCTGCTTCCTGCCTCGCCTGCGACTGGTAGCACAAGCCGTAAAGAGGCTCGGGACTGGCAAGCGGTCCTCAAGCTGCCCATGACGTCTCGGACCTGCTCCAATGTCTCGAAGGCCAAACGGGACGCACAGCCTCGACACGAGTTGAGACAGTTGTCACGCTTCACGCTTCCGCCCTGCGGGTGCTTTCCAAGCCCGGGCCCCGCTCTTGTCAGCGGTTCTCGTGCAGACTTGCTGGGGGCTCATCGCCCCTGAGGCCCTGGCCTTCTTGCTGGAGGAAGGTGACGAAAGCCTCTCCGTCGTCCAAGTGGGACGCCAGCTCGCCTCAAACGCCCACTTCTCAACGCACACACGGTCACAATGAAGATGCACTTCCTGAGCCTCAGCGTGTCAGGACCTGAACTACCGCAAGTCGACCTGAAGACCCCGACCACCTTGGGACCTTGACCGTCTCTTCAGCCCGGTCGCCCATGAGGTTCGAACACAGCCGCCAAGTCTTCTTGAGCGCCCTGGAAGTGGCAAACGAGTCTCGTTAAGAGCATCAGCATGCAACAAGAATCATGGCAGACAAGCTTAGGATCAACTTTGATTTTGCCGTAATGCCGGAGAGGCAGGCACAAGCAAGGCCGAACTTCGGCCTATTCCGGACTCGCTCACGTCGGCGGAGTGTAGAAGTACGGGCTTCGCTTTCTGGGGTGATTAGCAGTCTGGCGCAACGCGGGACTGCACCGGCCGTGCAAGAAGCAAGCCATGAGCCGGGTCCCGAAGTTCCCACATCGTGAAATGCGCAGGGCCTGTGGGAGCTGTCGGTGACCGCCATGGTTTGCCTGTAGATGGAAAGCAAGCTGGCGAAGTCCATGGAACCTGGGAGGCGTGAGCACCGGGACTCCTTGAACGGCCGATGTAAGGACAGGCTTGGACTCTCCGGTTGCAGCAAGTCAAAAAGGGCGGATGGCAGTCGTTCTACCCGAGCGGCACTGCTGGTAGTTCGCCATCGCCTGTGATCCGGACTCGAAGCCTCAGGCGTGTTCAGTGTCAACATCTGCCTTGGAGTTGACAAGTTGGAGGGCTCACTTTCGCCAAAAGTGAACTTGGTATGCGCTTCGCCATCACACCTCTGCACCGTGGAACCTGTCAAACCTCAGGCTGACACGAATCATCTCAACCAGGATGCTGTTGATTTCGTTCTCTGCCTCATCGACATAAGAATCCACGGCGCCACGGATTTTCCACCAAATGCCTTCCATGCAATCAACGAATAGGCTTAATTTCTGGACGTGTAAATAAGCAGTGCGAGGTGCGAGCTTCAAGTTCACAACCCTTCAATCTCACGCACTTGTTGAGGCTTGGATGGAGTTCAGCATGGGCTATGGGATCTCCGACTCAAGAAGCGCCATGTGGGTCTTGCATGGTCTTGCTTGAAAAGTGAGGTGTGCGCAAGGGGCTTGAGATCACGGAGATGCCGAGGAACCTTCCGGAAAAAGTGGCAGGCACGGCGCACCCAATTCATCATGAACCCTTGCATACCCCTGCCGCCTGCACCAGCCAAAGTTGATCTCTGAACATCTTTAGTGATCGGGTTCGATGGGGAGACATCGGTAGCTCAGCTTCTCGCCTCGCTAAAGTAAAGCTCTTGGATCCCTTTGGCCCCTTCCGCTGAGCTTTCGGCGATCCAAGTCCAGAACCATTGCATGGCGCTCGGACGTAGCCAAGCTGGACCTGCCGTTCCCTCATGCACCATGCAAGTCCTTTCGTGCTTTGCCCCGCCCTAGCCCACACCCATTTCTACTGTGGACTCTGCATCCAAAGACTTCTGCGAGCTTTAGATCCAATCGCACGAAACTCTCGTGAACGCTGTACAGCTAGCTGCACACCCGCCAGGGTGCCGTTCCATCGGAGAATCAGGAGTCTGGTGCTGGGCCAAGCCCGGTAAGGCGTCTGTTATACAACCCTGCGCAGGACAAGCCTGGTGCCCCAATGTGTGTGTGTAACTTTCTGGACTGGAAAAATTTTACGAGACCTCCTAGCGGGGCTTAGTGAAGATTGAAGGCCCGGCCTCTGACGTGCCGCCTGAAGCGTGCGATTCCCGTTCCTCGGCTCGAATGGAGCACTTCGCTTCTTCAGGGTCTCGGGTTTCGGTTCACTTGTCTTACAAAAGTGACGAACACGTGGAGCGTATCTCGCCACTGCATGGCTGGGATGAGGGTGCTGCCCAAGTAATGACCCATTTGACGAAAGCTGATCTGCGTGGGGCCCAGTCGAGTTGCTTTTCCTGCCAAAGATACGGTATCATTAATTGAGGGCACAAGTGCCCGATGATGGACAGTTGCGCAACGTTCCGTGAGCTGCTGTGGTCTCTGAGCAGGGAGTTGTTCTGGGACTGAATCAACCCTCTGGGCTCTGAGACTTAACCAATCTGGCTCTGAGATGACGAAAATTCTGCACAAACACGGGCCGCTCGGCGGCTCGCGCATTCTCGACAAGACTCCAAGAGCAGCCCCAGAGCGCTGGAAATAAACATGGAATAGAGGAGTCGGCTGCTTGAATGCTTGACGCTTCCGCATCGGACGCTCAGAAGCGCCTCATGCCCAAGTCTGCGTCCCAAGTGGCTGCCTATAGATACCCAGGGTCGCGCGCTGCAGTTTCAGCTGCTGCTGCCTCGCTGCAGCGCTTCTTTGGAAGCTGCCCCGTGAGTCGTAAAGTCGTAAAGCAGACAAGTTAGACATTGAGGCAACAGGTCGCAACGGTCCACTTCCAACTTTGCCATGCAGCATTTGACGCGCGCCCTGCGCGACGGACCTTATCCAAGACACGAGGTTTCTTGTGTTTCGGACTTCCGCCCTAGAGACAATTGACGGGCAACAACGCTAACTGCGCTAACTGGTATTTGAGGGGGTCCAAGCACATCACCTGCGCACACGAATGTTGTCAGCTGTGCGACATTGCGATGTGGTCCACCCTGCTGCGTTGATCTGAAGCAGTCCTTGGGCAGTCGCAGGATTGCCGGAGTGTTCCAGTGCAACTCGGAGCCTTTGGACTCCTAGTGCAGGTATCCTTCAGGGCCGGGTGCGCAAAGCTGTGCACCCAGCTCGGAATTCCTTCCTGGCTCGCCTCTCTCGCGCTCCTTCTCCACCTCCATCCCTCGTCTTTATCGGTCGTAAGAAGGCCTAATTAGCACATCCGCAAGCACGTCCGAATCGCCAGGATGTGGGGATTGCAGGGACGAGACGTGGGCCAGCGGTGGGAGTGAAAGAGACCTCTGTCGGTAGCTGAAACTTGAAGATCTTGCAATCATCCCTCTACCACCAGCTGAATCATATTAACACGCATCGCACCGGCACCTGGCAGGGTAGCATACCTCGCCTTGAACCAAAACAACAACAATTGAAGCCAAAAAAACAAAGGGGTATTGGTCGACCGTTTGATGCATGGGGTCAGACGAGTCAGACGACAACGAATCGCAAGCTGAGGTCGCAGGTCAAAGGCCATGCGCCTTTGAGTGTTAAAGCAAGAGGCCGAAGCTTGGCTCTCAGTGATACCAAGCTGTCAAAAGCCGCGAAGACTTGCTCGCTGCTGTTGCCATCCTGGAGGATGGACTTGCCTCGTAGAAAGGGGGCTTCACAGCGGCCAGATAGACATAAGCCAATTTCATGCTGACGGTGCTGTTCGGTTTTTCGGGCCCGTTGACGGGGAACAGCATACTTGAATATCCTCGGTCGGCCCCTACGCATGGTCGCTGGGTTGAGAGGCAGCACTTTCCCCAAAGTCACACTCAAGCAGACACTCGTTTGTGACGTCAAGCCGATCTGTCCGGTCTTGACCCAAAGCCATTCGGCATCGTACTGTAGCATTCATACATGCATCATGACAATGAGGTGCATCGTTGGGCTCGTATCATTGCACACAGTCCCTTGATCCTGACTTCCGTCGAGGATCACTCCAACATTTAACAAGCACAGGTGGTGGCATTCGCCAAGCGATCAAGAAACATGGGAAGAAACAATCCATCAAAGCTGCCCAGGATCATTGGCCTAATTCCGGCCATTCCGGCTCGACTCGGGATGACATTCGAGTCCTTGTGAAAAGCATTCGGAGGCCAGTTTGCACTGTACAAAGCAAGCTTGCAAAAAATCGACTGATGCGTCATTCATCTTGAATCCGAGATTTCATTCTCAGCAAACCACTGAAGAAACCCATTCAACGTTTCAACATAAACTCCACAGTGTAAACCAGTTGCAGTCGCAGGGCACTCCTAAACTAATCGCCGGGATCAGCGCGATCCCTGGACAGTGCCCTTGGCATTCTTCCGCAGGACAATCTCCGCGCCAGGCTCGAGAGCATTGCCAGTGCGTTGCGATCATTTGAAGCTTTTGTCTGGGGAGGAGCATTCCAAGCATTGGCGGCCTCATTGTCTTCATTCTCATAGATCTCGTTCAGTCAAGGTGGAACAATCGTGCTCCAATCCACCTCCGACGGCTTGGTTGAGCGGGACCATTGTGCGTCCCATCAGTCTCCATTGGATGCGGCACTGTGCGCAGGTGGTTGCCAACATTCCCTATTCGATGGTCTCATTCAGGGTCAGCAACATATTGGGGCTGCGGTGGCACATTGGATCAGTCATCGGCATTCGAGTGATAGCGGCACTGCTCAGTGACAGTGGCCCCATTGTCCAGCGCCAGTCATTCGGCCCACATCCATCCCATTCGTGGGTGCTGATGTGGTCGGTGAGCTAGTAGGATTGAAGTAACTCGCCAGTTTCATTCTGGCATTGCCGCTACAGCCGCCCGCAGTTTGGGACGCTCACGAGGGCGGGTGCAGGAGGGGTGCTCGGGCCATTCCGAATAGGGCGGCGGTCGGAGAGGAGGAGGCCTTTGAGCATTCACCACAGGAGCAACATCATCATCAGTATCATGAGCATCAGTGGCGAGATCCTTGAACCAATTCGCCACAACACCAAGATGCGTCAGCAGTCGCTGCAACATACTTGGTCATTAAATCCGTGGGATTACGCGTCTTAACCATCCTCAGTAGGCCAATCTGCACCGGGTCCTTGAGTCTTCTTTCCAGTACCAAATCTGGTCGCCAATGATTTGCCGGCCGTGCTGTCAGTGTGGGCGATCACATTGACATTTCTCGCCAGTTTTGATTCCAACAGCATTGACCGAACAAACAGTGCTTCCGACACTCCTTGACCAATCGCATACAGTTCCGCTTCACCGGAAGACAGCGCCAGTGTGCCTTGTGTCCGGGCAGCGCTAACCATGTTGCACCCCAGGGCATTCACAGTGGATCCGCTGGTACTTTTGCGCGTGCGCGCGCATCCAGCCCAGTCTGATTCCACGTAGACATTATGTCAACGGCGCAGTTGCCATCCGCGAGCTGATACGACGGTCGCAGTCTCATCTCACGCATGTCCGTGCCAATCAAATAGCGCAGTAGGTGTTTGCACATTGCGACACTCTGCATCGTCGGGGCAGCCACATCCCGGCTCAGCTCCTTTGTCGCATATGCAATGTCACCTCTCACCAGTGCAAGCCAAAGCAACTTGCCAAAGGCAGTCCTGTACACTGAGTGCTCCACATTGGTAATCGTGACAGTTGCAGTCGTTGCTACAGGCTTGGCATCTTTCATTCCATACAAACCAAGAATCGTATCAATGTGCGTCTGTGACATGCGCACATCAATCGAATCACCATTGTGTCGCAGTCGTCTTGCTGGCAAGGTCTGCTCACTCCCTGGCACCAGTTGGCCAGTCTCTTTCAACAACGCGACTCAGGTGCCTCATGAAACATCTCGGCAGGAGCCCGATGAGTACCATCTCGTAGCAACCGTTCTTGCTCAGTGACAGTTTCACGCGGGCCAGGTGCCACGTCTTCAAGCTCAACAGTCTCCTCAACTTCCTCCTCAACACGCTCCAACCCAGGAGGAGGCTTCACCCCGCCTTTCAGTCCCAGATCTGGTGGCATTACAAACGCAGTCGATTCAACTCGACCTCCACGGGGCTGTCAAGGTGTGGAGGTCATTTTGATGACATACGATGCATTCAATGGTTGACGAGGCCATCTTCTCTTAACAGCCCTAACCTTTGCGACACCACTTGCATTCCCAATAATCACTTCATCGGCCTCATTGTCCTTGCCAAGGTACGCTCCAGTGAGAACCGGCCTTGGGAACATGCACCTTTCCACTCACAGGCATTTTCGCGTCAATCAATTCACCAAACATGCACAGTGCTCCGCCATAATTGAGATTCCATCTGCGATTGTAGGCAGTCTTGCCGTCAGTGCCAACCATGTAGCGGTTGATCAGCCATTGCGCACAGCCCAGGTGAACGTTGGCGATTCCATCAACTGTCTATACAGCGTCCCCAACACTTCCTTGACTTTGTCAGTGTGCAGTCGGCGCTGCGCACATTGACAATCCACCGATCGTCTTGCAGGTCGCGTGCCATTGTCTTCAGTGTCGCTTCCTTGTGATACTGAACAACCCCAAAAGTACTGCCAATCGCAAACACAAACTTCCTCAAATCGGCAACTCCATATTTTCCAACACGCCCTTTCGACGGCAGTACAACAGCCATTGAATATCTAGTGAATCTAGTCTGGACATCCGTGGCATTCAACACAATCAAAGCCATTTAGTCTTTCGCTATGACAGTCTAGAAATCTTGCAACATCTTGCAACAACA